ACGTTTTTCATACAGCCAGATCCTGGCGATATCACGACGGTATTGTCGGCCGGCATTTTTGCCGGAGGGTGAAAATCGCAAATGTAAATCGTCACCGGGTTGCATGTTGATACCCACGCGTTCAGATGTTAAATGTAGAAGGATTATGGCGGTTGCGCGCGTCACGGTACCGATATTTCGAATGTATCGACGGCCGACATCAGTCGGGGTGGGGTTTACGGAGGTGTTCCGAAGATGCTGAGCATAACGGAACGGCGCGGATTTGCGCATCAAGAATTGATCTTGCTTTCTTTTCTCGTCTCTTTTTACATTTTCTTTTTTGCTACTCGCTCCGAGCGGAAATGCGGTTAATATCGGTCTTATTCGAAATAAGCGAAAGGTAAATATGTAGATAATACGCTACCCGTATCGCCGTTATAAAAAAGAAAACGTAATGAGACACGTTGAACTGCCGTTGTTGGCAGGTAGCAGGAAGGTCCTCAAACAGAGAGGAGCCCTCGTGGGATAAGCATACAAAAGTCATCGCTCGAAGTCAAACAATAAAATTAATTCGTGTACAGTGCGCATTATCACATCCGCTCGTTATTATCATACAGTCGACGCAATCTGCAGATGGATGTTATTTTTTAGAGTTTCCCCTTTTTATGGAGTTAAATTGCATTATGTATTCAGGAATTAATTATTACGTACATCAATACATACGAGTATGTGATATTATTATTGCAGTTTTAATGTCTTTATAGAATACTTACTTAATCGGGTTTTTTTTTAACTAATGATGATTACTTGAAAATTAAAAAATTTCTACTTTCAATAAAAAAAGGAGAGAACTAAGAATCTACTTTTCTTGTACTTTTTTAAGTGAATGGAAGCAAAGTACTGTATTATTAATGTTATTTATAAACGCCAATATATACGATATTATTACTGAAGTTTTTACATCTCGGAAAAATTATCTGAATTAATATATGATTACTTTTGTAAACTAAATGACGATTATTTAAAAATTAAGAAATTTCTAATTTTGACAAAAGAGAGAAAAAGAGAAAACTGAGAAGTTAGCTCTTGATTTTTTTTCAAAGTGAATGGAAGCAAAGTACTGTTGCGTCGTAAGGATATATCGCGTGACATCAAAACGCTAAAGAATCCAGCACAATTCGTCGTCTCGGCGAGATTGAGTCGCCGTGACGTCGCTTTCATCTGAAATTCCCAGGCGGCGACGCGAAATGGTTGCCTCACGAACGAAGCTCGACAAAGAGTCGTCGTGAAACGTTTCTGAAAAGTGGAGCAACAGCTCCCTTTTCTCGCGGGCGAGAGGTCAAGAGGTCTCGCGCGCTCCCTTTGTTCCGTTTTTCGTGGCGGTGCCCGGTGGGGCCCCCCGTTGAAATCAAGTGTCGCGCGGGTGTGTGTTGCCGGTGTACCTTTCACCATGGTAACTATTGTTTCGGAGCAACGTACGTTTCGTGGCTCGAACGCGCCGTGGAAACGAAACCGCGGCGACGCACGCGTTTCCGTGTGCGTGCGCGCGCGCGCGCGCTCGCGCGCGTGTTTGCACGGCTGCGTGCGGTGACTGCGAGAGCGAGTGCATCGGCACGCGCGCAACGGCGCAGGTGTACGCAGGTCGCACGTCGTTGCGCCATGCAACGCACCTACCCGCACGATTTCTAAGATAACGGTTGACATTCGGTAATTATTGACTCTCCTCAGCAGATATATATATATGCATTGTTTATGCGTGCGCGCGTCGCGTAACGCTCTAGCAGGTAACACCTTGGCTGCACATCCGCATTTCTACATCTGTCAGATTTCGTTAGAATTTATGATAAACGCTCTCGGAATACGCAACATCGCTAAGGAAGCTACCAATCGGCACGATCAGCGCATTAGCGCTAACCGTGTAATTCGAAAATAATTTATCCGCTTCCTTATTATCCGCACTCTACGCGGCTATTATTATTTCGCAGTACGTACAGCCATTCTCCTGGCTACATTATTATTATAGCTCGATTATACTATGTGCTGCTGAGATTCGCGTGCTTATCAATCTTCGTGATAAAGACGGTATTAAATTATTGTGTTACTACTCTCGTACGTTGCTCTATTATTACATACATGTCATTAGAGTGCACTGTCAGAGCGTTAACAAACGCGATATTGAATCAGATTAATTGACAATATTATTGTTATGCGTGTAAACATTTTTTTATGCATTCATCAGTTAATACACTCTTGCAAATTATATCTTGTAATATACATTAAAAATAATTTCTTTCCACACTTCTGACCTCACTTTTCCCAAACAAATTTCGATGAATAAGTGAAGCCAAGATGACTTCATTTTGTACGCCTCCGGTTACTTTTCACCGGGACACGATCGTGAATTGGGATTGGTAGCGCAATTATCATTTCAGCACGATCGTCCCGTTAACGTCAATTGTCGAGGCTCCTCGATTCGAGGTAAAACGAATATAGGCGCGACTGGTCGCGTGGCTGGCACGCGCCTCTAACGATGACAACTTCCGCTCCTCCTGCCGGAAGTCGTGCCGAGTGTCGATGGCGCAACTGCGCACAGCCTGCATTCTAGATGCACCCGCCTCTATGTACGTTAAGCAAGTGGCTGTCAACATGCGAGCTAAATGCGACATCTTTCACTTGTACGTAAATACGCTGTTATGCATTTATGCCCGTTTATTTTTGTACCCGTTCATTTACTTTTTATAACCGCTCCTAAAGTCGTTTTGTACATTTGAGTATTTTAGAATAATTTTTATAATAATTTTAATAGAGTGATAAATTATGCATTTAATAAAAAGAATTAGTTGAAAAATTTTATTTTTTTAAATTAATTTTTTTATTCAATCAAAGGGTAGTATGTAACATAGTTATTATTCCATTGAAATTATTATGCAAAAATTATTCTGACAATAAGTTACTTATTCTAAAGTGGTTAAAAATGAGAATTTGTAATCAATCGTTTTATTAAGTATATAAAAAAGTCATGAAAATTTTAAGTAAAAATATTTTTATAGATTAAAGGAAGTTAAAGACTAATTTTTTATTGGCTTTTATTGGCTATAAGCATCGATTTAACTTCCAGTTGGTTTCTCAGTTTCATACAGTGACCGCATTGTACTTTTTAGTAGCAGCCACGATTGTCGCAGCCGTGCTATCTGTATTGCAGTGAGATCGCGAGTGCATTAAGATCAAGATAGCGCTTATTTACGCATTCCAAGATGGCGGCAGGTGGGCCGTCATAAAAGTTAACTTGTAAGATGATATAGTACCCGACCGATGCTCCAGCACGGGCGCAATGCGGGAGCTGTGCCGTAATAAACGCCGTTTTATTGTGTGACCCACGGTGTCGCTGGCCTTTCGTAAATAAAGAGACGCTGCGAGAATTTCGACGTTTTTACGCCCTTATGCGTAGCTAGATCATAAATCTCGATAAAATGTGGAAATTGAACGTTTTGTCGGGATCCTTATGTCGAACTTATGTATCAAACGTCGTCCAACAATAATTGTGTTTTCTTATGTCCATCGCTTAAGATTCAATGTGACTGTTGTTAATTAATTAAAAATTAAAATTAACATTTTATTTTAAAAGAGCTAATTTTTTATTACAAAAGAAATCCATGTTCACCTCTGTACTTCTTGTTGTATAACATATAAAGCGACTTGTATTTTTAACGGGACCCAACCGTGTAGGCAGCACGCAAATTCGACTTCCACGAGTTACGACACGGATGACAACTCGTTTTCGAGAGTGCGAGTGTCGCATGAATGCTGAGAAAAAGGGGGTCACTGACCCGTGTGACACATCCCCCGTCCGTTCGTTCATTTCAAGGACAAAAGTCGACCTCCTTCGCGACTGTTTTCCTGGTTTCTCCCTGGCCTGCCTACAATTTCAAGACGCTCGTACGTGCGCGACTCTCTTTCTTGCGCCAAAAAGGAAAGACGAAAGGTCTCATCCCACTCCACGCTCCCCGAAAAAGTGCTGCGCGAGGAGCTGCATATATCGCGACCGGCTAATCTAAAAATACTAAAGTCGACCTTTCCCGCGGCAAGAGTGATGGCCCTGGACGACTGCTAAATCAACGGCGAGATTGAGATGCAAATGCAGTCTCATGCGTTCTGCATGAAAGGGGGAAAGGGTGCGTCATGGAGAGAGAGGAAATGGGATAGCGGGGGCGCGGGTAGAAAGAAGATGCAAAGTCGGGGACGACGCTGCAAGAGATGAGAAGAACTGCGGGGAGCGAGAGAGAGAGAGAGAGAGAGAGAGAGAGAGAGAGAGAGAGAGAGAGAGAGAGAGAGAGAGGTACATGATGGAGAAAGAAAAAGAGAGAGATATATAAGGAAAGAGGAAAAAATAACAACGTCGCGCGCGATAGCTGTGCAATTCGTGCAATTAACATTTATAATGTCTCCATCCGGCAGCGTTGACAGGGCAGGCGAACAGTCGCATGCATAAAACGCGGAATTTAACGCTGATAATTCAATCCAGCCACGATTGTGCACCGCCACCCTCTTGTCCCCTTTTGTCCTTCCCCCCCCCCTTTTTTTTTACCGCGCTGCTGAAATAACTTTATTGAATTTCGCGCGTTCCAACCGATCTCGCAATAACTCATGCGCGATGCGCACAAGACCCGACCGCGGAACCCGGAGCCGATATCTCGCGGGTCTGATCTACCGCGACGAGTTCGTGTGCGTACTTGCACGTAGTTGTGTACTTGCGTGCACTTGTATCCACGGGTACTTACACCATACGGAAAATGGAAATAAATTGTGCGGTATCTCATCGCATTCTCATCCGTGTCATCGGTGTCACGGTCTGTTTTGTACCGAACAGAAAAATACCGCGTCTGGAATGAACTGGTCCTGGTATTTTGACCGAATGTATTGTCGCGAGTAAGATTGATCTTTTTGAAGAAAAACGATAAAATATTAATAAGCGTATAAATAATCTAATATAAATATATAAATATATATATGAAGGATGGTATATATAATGGCAAAAAGTTACAAGAAAGAACCTTGAATATAAATATATCTTTTGTTTCCAGCAAAAGGGGCTATCATGTTTTGTCAGATAACCTTTGGAGTTCATTTAATGGAAGACTGTCTGATTTTTTATCTCCCATTGGCAACCATTTACAGCGTATTTTCTTCGTTTCCTGACGAAATAAAATAAATCTATGGTGCTGAGATTTGTTTTCAATGTAAGGTATTGTTGTAAAAACTTACAGATTGTATTACGACGCCGTACTGATCGAGTTTACATATTTCGTATTTAAAAAGAATAGTATGTTCATGTTCGCCTATGTGCAGCATTCTTTCACGTGTATCTTTAATAATATGTAACTCAGAGGTTTTTGTAACAACTACGTGTGTTATTAGTCCAATCCATGTAACATTTGATAAATCTATAGAGATTGTGGATAAATGAATTATTAAATAATTACATATATTACTATTAAATACTTTATTAAAGATTGTATTGATTGTGAGTAATATATATGTATACATATATTTTATATACCTTTATGAGATGTGCGATCTATCGTCACGTTTCCTTGGGTCAGCATATCGTGTGCTTTACTGAGAAAATAATAATCATAACCAGTAAAAGTCAGCTTATTTTTTCCACTCTCGAGAATTATCTACAAACACATTTAGAAATATTCGGGAAATAATCAACTAATCAATTTGATTAATGTGCTTTCAATAAATTTATAATTTGAATATTCACACGAAAGTTCATTTGATCTCCAGACGTTCGTACGCTATGAAATGTCTTATCAAGCCACTTGGTGTTCGTCTTGCTTTTCACCACAAAATTGTGAATTGGTCCGAGTATTTTCAACACTGACACGAGGCGGAAACATTTTATCTGTTTTATGAGTAATGAAAGGATAACTTAAAGTATAAAGATGCCAAAAATTATTATTATAATCCGTTACTTGTGTGCTTGTTGGCACAAAAATATATCCAATTTTATATGCATTTGTGTCAAAGTAATTCGGAATCAAAGTGTAGTCAGGTGCGATTTCTTGAGCGATAATCGGTTCAATAATATTCCAACAATGAGAGATATTTAAATTTTGAGGAATACAAAGTTTTCGTTTCTTCTTGATAATTAGCATAGGCCTCTCATTAGGCATTTTTATATTAATTAACTATTTTGGTTATAGTTCTTTTGTATGTTGAATTGTGATGAACATCGTGCGTAGAAAGGATCGATAAATCATTCTTTTTGTCGTTAAATGCCTAACTTCTCTCATTATTAAACTTTACAAATTATTTTCAACCAATCTTCAGTCCAATCTTTACTTTTAATTTATAAACATTTTTTTCTTTGAATTATTATTGAGAGTTCCTATATCGTTATACGAGAAAAAAAGTTGGTTAAGAAATTCTCGAGGACACCGGCAAGTTCCAAATCGAATCGAGCGATATTACTGTAGCCGATCGATCACGAAACTCGTTCTTTTGGTCGGCGCAAGTATATCGGTCCAATCATTTGTAATCATTAGCGGTATGGTATCGTTGGCACCGACATCTTATTATGTCATTTCGTTTCGTATCCTTTCTTTCTCGCCGCAGTACGTCACAGATGTAGGTACTCCGGCATTGTTGCTGTAAACAGTATTCGACCATTATTTATTGACGCAGATAAAACATTGAATTAACTTTTATTCAGCGCGGACGAATGAAGCAAAATATATGAATAATCGTTTTAGGTTATAACAGGATCGTACAACTACATGAATACATGTCAGTTGTCACGTATAAAACTTCCTTTATTTCTTTTTTTACCTTTGAGAATATATTATATTCGTGAATTTTAGAAGTCAATAGAAGTACACGGCGTAGTAACATGATTCGATTTAAGATCCAATCATAAAAATAAACGACTGATTTTACACTACGCAGAAACGTCTTTAATTTCAATAATCTTAGGATGCTTTTTTCGCTGATTCCGCAATCCTCGTAATGAAGAGCGTTATTGTTTCCGTGCAACAATATTTAATGGCCACAGCACAGACTCTTGCATAACGCATATAATGCATAGTACATAAGGAAATTAACCAATCGAAATTCTTTTTTTTCATGAAATGGGAGGAAAGCAAAGATTCTGATTAGTTGATTCACTTATGCATTACGCGTTATGCAAAAGTCTGTGCTGCAACCTTAACTCAAAAATTGGGGTACAATAAAGTAGCTCATTTATGAATCAACCATGTTCAGACAGCAAAATATTAATGTCACGAGATAGTTCATTTCGCAATTTACACGTTTCGCACAAAAAGTAAGACAAAAAAAAAACGATGAGGCAATTGATAAAAAATTAATATTATTCTAAAATACCTACGAATATAAATATTTAAATTGCTTGTCAATTTAATTTAATATTACTTTAATTTTGTTAGAATTGCGTTTTAAGACTGAAAATTAAATTGGATGCGTAGTTCGCAGGATTCGATTTGTATATAAAATTCACATCAAATTATTTAAGCACTAAAGATCCAGCATGACCGTTTAAGGTGTTCACTTCCTAGTTGTTATGTAATCACATTAATAGATAATTTGTTTAATATTATTCAAAATCAATTGCAATGAAACACTTGTTGTGACTTTGAACATAGTACAGCACAGGACAGCGAAGAGAGATGTTGTAGAGCTCCTATAAGATGTGTTGCGGCCCGTTGCTCTCGCAGGAAGATCCACCTGCTCGCTCTTAACTGTCTTTCACTTTGCAATTAGCGAATTTTAAACTACCACTCGTCTTCAAGCATCTTCAAGGTAGTGAAGCATCGTCAAAGGACAGTGAAGTGTGTCGTTGAAGTTGGTGCGACTTTGAATGACTACAAAAAAATGTTGTGAATGGATAAAGATTTACGTCTTCCGACCATCGTGATGAATTCGTGATTACGATAAGTAATCGCGGTGCATCATCGGTATAGCGGTGACGCGGTAGCAATGAGTGAGACAGGGTAAGCCTTAAATTTCCAGACCGGCAAATTGAAACGGTTCCGGGCCGCATCCCGATATTGCTTATGGTACAAATTTAATAAGGCGCCTGCTGGGGCCACCAGTTACCATGCTAATATCATCCGCCATCGGCCGCGTGCAACTTCTCCACCTGACGCCCGGACGAACGCGAAGAAAAAGGTGAAGGTTGGAAAAAAAGGGGCAACGTGGGGCAACAGAACTTTGCGGGGAAAAGAGGGGAACCGACGGCGATGGCGAAGATGACTGCGACGGATGTGAACGACGAGAGGCACGGGGCGACTCGTAACCCGTAATGTTATGGCACTGCCCACCGCGAGAAGGGCCTTAAAGGGCCCTCGTGCCGGGGTCTTTAGTGCCAAATTGGTTATGCGAACGCTTTACGACACGGCGCGCCGATATTAACCGAATGAATTACATAAATTATCTTTAGCGTTACTTCGAGAATGACGACGACGACGACGATGACGACGGGGCTGAGAGAAACGCCGAGAAACATTCATGCGTCCGCGAGTTCTGCGCAGATTCCAGCGCTTCAATTGGAGCTCCAGAGAAAGATACCTCTGAGAGAATTGCTCTTCCTCCGAGGAAGAAAACGGCGCAGTTACGGTTGCGAAGTTAAAGACATTTTTACATGTTTTTATGTTTTTTAACGATTCAATCATACAGAACAATCTCGCATAATTTTATTTGCAATTAAAAAATTTAAATTATTTCGAATTTTTTTCTTTGGTACCTTATCCTTGATATAATTTGCCACCGCAATTGTATTTTTAACGCTTACAACCTAAGAAAATTAGTGAAAAATGTAAAAAAGCCCATCAGAGCCTACATCAGCGATTCGGATGCACAGAAATTCTTTATTTTTCGTGTGAATGTAACAAATAAAATATACATTTCAACCCTTTAATTCGGATTCTTATCAATATAAAATATAAATCGAAATTACATAAATAACAAGTCGATGATTCCCGACAGTTAGTTCGTTCTTCTTTATCCAAATGCCAAATTAGCTATGTAATGAATAGCCCAATGATTATCAAAAATATTACCGTATACAATAATAACATAAAACTTACATAAAATAAAACTATATATATTGCGTTACTAAGTAGAATCACATCGCTCATCAAATTGTTAGATTTACTATGTAATCATTCCAAAGAAATACGAAACGAAAAATTAGAGAATTATTAAAATCATTTGTCTGAATTTTCTATTATATCCACTTACATGTAAGCATTTTCTTGTAAAAGACTTGTAGTGTCGACAGTCAGAGATACAATGAGAGTCAAAATAATAAAGTCAAATAATTATTGAAATAAAAATAAAACTAAGAACAAAAGAGGGTAATATCAACGTCACAATTCCGTAAACAAATTTATGTACAGTGGGTCCAAAGAATACGTATCATTCTGTAAATTTAAATTCTGTTTCTGTTGCTTTATATGGATCGCTTCCGAAATCATTCTTTTATTACTTTTTCTTCGTCTAATATCTTGACATTTTCCCAATCAAAATCGTGTTGATAACTGATTCTGTGTTCTGTTATTATGAAATGCTGTGTTCCAATTTATGTGATTTTTATGTTCATTTATGCGTGTTTTCAAA